TATATATATATATGTATATATATATATATATATATGCATATATATATATTTGTATATGTATATATATATATGTATAAATGTATATGCATATATGTGTATATATATATATATATATTTATATATATATATATATATATGCATATATGTGTATATATATGCATATATGTGTGTATATATATATATATATATATATATATATATATATATATATATATATTTGTGGACGGACAATTTCGCACCAGAAAATTACGCACCTAGACATTTGTGTTCTTAGACATATGCTTCCCTTGATTTTTGAGATCTACTGTTAATTTTTTGAAGTTACCAGTTTTTTTGAAGCGTTGTTTAATATAGAATTGTTCACGCCAAACAAATTTCTGTTTTCTCCAACTGTGCCTACCACGAATATCTAACAGATCTTGGTCTTTGTAGACTATATTTTTATTTGAAATACATAACGAATTTCCGAAAATCAAGCCCTAGTTGAAAAATATTTGTGGACGAGAAAATTACACCTACCACTATCCTACAAAAAATGCCGATGAAACAAAAACATATTAACTTTGTGCAGAGCGATCTTGCAACACTATTACATCTATCAGTGCATTTCAGACAAAAATAAATATTTAATTTTTTAAAATTTTATTTTTATTCTTTTTTAAAAATTCCTCCTTATTACCAATCTTTTCTTTTTCAAATTTATGTTAATTGCCTTTAAAAGCTTAAAAAAATTATCAAATGTCCGCAATTATCCAGAGACACATTTGTCTAGGGATACAATTGTCTGGTACACAATTGTCCGGGACGCAAATGTCCAGTACGCAACTGTCCTAGAACTATATATATTATCATTTCATAACAAGCAAAACAGTAAAGCCAGATATCAGATGAAATTGATATCTAACCTGCTCATCAACAGGACGCATAAAATCCAAGAACGCGACACTCATATTAGGGAAAAATACTTCGGAGATGTAAACACTACATAGTAAAAGATTTTCACGACGAAAGGAACTATCGGGAAGACAGGGAAATATAGAAAGCCCATACATATTAAAATCTGAAGTGAAATCAGCAGTAACCAAATCGATTTGAAGCAAAACAAAACGGAATTGCAATAGGGTTGCTCAAGATAGCATACATGCGCATAGAGACTTTCAGCATATATAAATATAGAAAAGAGCGTAAGACAAGGATGCGTCTTCTCACCCGACCTTTTCAAGCTGTACAGCGAGGCGGTTCTGAGAGAATTTTAAAACCTACAGGGATTTAACATTGGCGGCCACAATCCTAAAAACATAACATACGCAAATGACACAGTACTGATAGCAGATACGGAAAAGAAATTACAAAATCTCCTACAGACGATAGCAACAGAGAGTGAGAAGAAGGGACTAAGCATAAACAGAATGCATGTTCATCAGTAACCAGATTAGTCCGAAATGTGATTTGCAGGCCGGGAACACTATAATCTATTTCAATTTAAATATCTGGAAAGCGTTCTGACCCAGGACGCTAAATGCGACGCTGAGATCCGTAGACGTATTGGGATGGGCAAGGACGCATTCCAAAAGCTGGGCAGAATATTGCAAGCCAGGAGGATTTCTTTGGTAACAAAGAAAAGAATACTGAACTGTTATGTGACATCTGTCCTTCTTTACGGCAGAGAATTTTGGACGATTTCCTCAAAGATGAAGAAGAGACTCGAGGCGATAGAGATATAGTTCTACACGAGGATGCTAAGTATATCAATGATATGTGAGCAATGATGAGGTCTTAGGGAGGATGCAAACAAGGCAGAGGCTTAAACCTAACATTAGAAAGAGGCAGCTGAAGTTCCTGGGACACATAAAGAGGCTAGAGGGCCTGGAGTATCTGATACTCACGGGTCGGATAGAGGGAAAGAGATACAAGGGAAAACAACGCGGGACATATCCAGCAGCCTTAAGCAAGTGGATGACAGAACATATTCTGGGGGGTGGGGAGATGGCAGAGGGAAGGAACTTGTGGGCTTGAAGGGATAGAGGGAGGTAGAGAGCCATGACCGGCTAAGACTTTAAAGTACACAGCGCATAGAACGAAAGAACAGATATGCTAGCAGCCCGAAATGACTCCGACACTGACAATATTACAGGCATAATAAATGAAATATACAATAGTGGTGATATACCGGATGACGTAAGTAGCAGTGCCTTCGAAACAAATATGAACCTCACCGGACAATCAGCCTAATGAGATATAAAACAAAAGTTTAAAGCCAAATTCTGATGGACAGAGCGCGCAGCAGAATCAGACCGGAAAACTGACAAGAATTTGAATTCGTTAAAGACACTGGAACAAAGAATGTGATATTTATACTCAGGAAAGTGGGTTTATATATTAAGCAAAAGCGTTTAATGAAGTACATTACAAGAAGTGTTTGAATTGCGAGGAGAGCTTTGAATATTTGTCAAAGAGTTTAGAATAATCCAAAGGCTATACTGACAGCAAACTGCCTGCATCCGGATAGAAAACGATTTCATTAAATATTAAAAAATACAAATGATTGTAAAACAAGTATTTGTCTTCTCACCGGACTCATTCAATCTATACAGTGAGGCGATTCTGAGAGAATTAGAAGTCCCAAAACGTGTCATTATTGGTGGCCACAATCATAACAACATACGACATTCAGATGACACAGTGATAATAGAAGGCATAGAAAGGAACCTACAAAATCTTCTACTTAAGTTTGTGAAAGAAAGTTTAAAAATCAGTAGTAATTACCAATTGCAAGACGACAAAATTGATAATTGTTAGAAAAAGGAACAAGTCTAAAATGCAAATTGGAGATGCAAGAATCAGACAAGTTCAACAACTTAAATACCTATGAATGTTTTAACAGAGAACGGAATCTGCAATACTGAAATTCAAAGGCTCATTGGAATAGGAAAAGATGCCTTTCAGAAGCGAAGTATAACATTAAGAAACAGAAAATATTTTGTTAGACACGAAAGAAAACAGACAAACAAGAGTACTGAATTATATATTATGTGTCATACACTGTAGTGAATGCTATATAGTCCCCTCACAGACACATGAGAAACTTGATGCAAATGCGGCTCTACGGAAGAAGGCTAAGAATACCATGGAACGAACATGTAAGTGACGAAGAAGTTCTTGAGAAAATGGAAACAAAAAGGACGCATATTTAACATCAGGGAGAGATAGTTGAAATTTCCAAGGCATAGAATGTGAAAAGAGAACTGTGAAAATTTGATATTCACAGAAGTTAGTGAAGGCATATGGAACAAACGGAAAGAACGCATAAAGTGCTTAGCGAGCTAGGAATTAATGGATGGTGGATCAATGTTTAACAGAGATAACAAAAAGATAAAATTTACTAACAATTACAAAAAGACAGGAAAAAGTTTTCAGACATAATCATCTACGTCCATGGCACACAGAAGAACTAAAACTAAATGATGTTCGACAGATCGAGACTTTCATATGAATTTCATGCATGGCAGCAAACCTTTTCGGAAATGACTCAACTGCAAGTTGTCTAGAGCCGCTTTCTAATACCAATGTTTAAAATGGTTTGGGGGACTGAGTAAAGCTATTGGTTATTTTGGAGAAGACCATCAACTTTCGAACTTAGTGTACTTGCGCTACAGAATCGTAAAAAAGAAGTGTATCACTTAACAGAAATTGCACTGTCTGATGTTCCACACTATTTTTAACAAAAGGTTTAAGAGGGAAACCCTCATCAATACTGTGAAGAACGATAACAGTTACTGGATTTGAGAAACTTATTTTTCTGAAATATTTTTTATTCGGAAGATTTAAAACAAAATCATTCGACAGGTTCCTAGACTATAAATACCGAATGTCTCCTCATAAGGAAACGACCAATATTACGATTAACATTAATGTTGTGGAGTAGCTGAACACCACCATAAGCTGGGCAAACACATATCATCGCCGATATTTTATATCTGCTCTGAAATTGTAGCCTAATGTAAACAATAGCAACATATATCATATGAAATAGATTAAATCCAACAAATATTTTAACATAGTTTCAGTTCATACTCTTTTTATGCATACGCTTATTTGAGTAAATGCTCTGTTTTGTTTTTTTGTTTTTTTTTGTTTTTTTTTTTAATTAACAGTATTACTTACATTTACCGGAATGAATGTTCGAGAAAATTTGTAAAAAAATATGCGTCCTCTGACAGGAATCTTCGAAGGTGATTGTTTAAAAGCAGTAATGCGAGTTTTGCTAAACCGGAAGTCCTCTGTGGTTCAACGATCATATCACGTCAGGCTAAATAAAGATTCCGTAAAGGCTACACGTTCGATTGCTGTCGGAGGGCGCATATTTTCTACGAAATTTCTTGAACATTCAGGCAGGTAAATATAATTAATGATTTTTAATTAAAAAGAATATAAAAGAGCATTTTCTCAAAGAAGAGTAAAAAGCGTGTAAACAGAATATATAATCGCCATACGTATTCGAGGATTCCCATCTACTAGCGCGGCTACTAGCAGACTCTCACTCAGACACATTTGTGTTTTTTCAACGCCCACAGAGAGAACCTGTGATTTTCTAATGCTACTATGCAGAGCAGACCTAACTTACAGTTTCTGGGAGAGAGCGTGCTATCTAGAATGATCAACAATCTGAACAACACCAGGACAATCAAACCCTCGGTAACGATGATTTATGACTTCGTGTTAGCACAGCTATAGACGGCCCCAAGAGTTCCGTCTTCCCAATTTCAAACATAAGGCTTGGGTTAACTCGTGGTATCATATTGAAGGACTTTCTAAAGGTGCCGCAACCTGGGATCGTTACCGCTACAGATCGATAATATCAGGAGGTCTCCTTCCTGACAAAACGACCATAGAGAGATTCGAACCCGGGTCTCCTGGTCAGAAAGAGAACGTTCTAACCATTCGTTCTTCCTCTGGTCTATTTTCTACTGTTACGTTATCTTTGTTGTTTTCTTGTCGAG